AGAAGAAGAAGAAGAAGAAGAAGAAGAGCATAAGTGATTTTATTATTCTTTTATACATGGGTCCTTGTTTTAAAATTTTTGGTGGTTTAAAACTGCCTCATTTATGAAAATGGAGTTTACATGCACTTTGCTGATTGAGTCCCGCTTGTCCCAAACTCTGTGTGTGTGTGTGTGTGTGTGTGTGTGTGTGTTGTGCAGCTTGTGCCTGCTCATCATCAGAGGCAATTTGAAGTTAGCAACTTTGTACGCAGTTCCTTTTTCCCCCAGAACGTGTTTTTTTTTTCACTGGGGTAAATATCCAGGGCTTGAAGTAGGACAACCAAGTCAAATAGGCATTGATTGACATATGTTATCAGCGGCTTTCCGAGAATTTCTGAAATTCCATTCTGCTTTGAACCTCCTTTCTGCCCTGTTTTCCCCACAGTCCGTACTTTCTCTTTTGTAAAGACAGCTGTGTGTGTGCTGCTGCCTTGAGGGCACTTTTCAAACGTGGGCTTTGTTCACATGAGTGAAGAACTAATGGTCCAACATTTATCTCTAAGAACCTTTAGATGTGCTTAACATTTTGGATTCTGCCTCAGTGAAAGAGCAGGTATCCTTTGATCCTTTTTTCATCTCAGCTCTGATTGAATGGTTTTAGACCCACTCCAGGAAGATCAAAGCAAATACTTAGAATTAAAAAGAGAGAGAGAGAGAGAGAGAGAGAGAGAGAGAGAGAGAGAGAGAGACTTCAACAGCCTCCGGGTTGGGTCAGGCCCGGCAGGGACTTTGGCTTGCCCAGTGCTTCCAGCAAGAAAGCTTAGCAAGGCTTCATTTGTGAGTGCAGAGCCCCCAACACTGGGTTCTGGGTGGTGATCAAGACATTTCAAACCCAGTCTGTCAAAGAGGGCCAGTGGGATCGTGCGCAGGCCCGGCCCACAGGCCCTGGAGACCCACTCCCACATTAGTACCTTTCCCAGCTCCCCTGCTGAGCCCTGCCTGTCCTCACCAACATGCTGATCACGTGGGTCCTCTCCTCCGGCATAAGCCCACCCTAAGGTAGGAGGCCTCTGGACTTGCCTATTCAATCTAATCTCTAGTGCCTACAGCAGGGCCTGCACACAGTAGGTGCTCAGAAGATGTCCCGTGGTGGAGTGTGAATGAACAGGAGGTCACAGGGCATGTAGTTGTAGCCCTTGTGACGCAGCCCCACCACGAGGACAGAAATGAGGAGAGGACCAGCACTTCCTAGCTGCCGCGTCTGGGAACAGAAGCCATCCCTGACTCTCAGCTCTCCAACCCCTCTCTGGCCCCAGCTTGACACCACTCAGCCTTGACTCAAGAACTGACCTGCACCTTCTCCCACGGTCAGGCATTGCTTTACACTTTACACTTGCACCACTGGATTAAAGTCAAGGTCACAAGGACCCATGGCCTCCCTCCAGCCTTGCCAGAACTTCATCCTTCACCCATCTCACAAGGCAAAACAGCCCCATGCAATACCCAGCTTGAGAACAGCTCACCACCACCCACTGCTCAGCCGCTCACCAGCACGTAGTGGGGCTCTGGGGCTCTGGGTGACAAAGACAGGGCTGACTCTGCCTTGGAGTAAGAACGACAGATAGCCAGTAAATAGACASAATGATACCTGGGTGCAGGGTCACCTGCTATAAAGAGAACAAAACAGGGTGATCAGATAGAAGTGAAGGTCACAGAGGGCGACTGTGGAGATCTCAAATGACAGGAAGAGCTTTCCAGACCAAGGGAGCAGCAGGTGCAAAGGCCCTGAGGAAACAGATTCAGCAGAATATCCATAAAAAGGCAGAGGGCTGGAGCCGCAGAGACAAGGGGGAAGTGGTCGGAAATGAGATGGGGGGTGAGCAGAATCCCACGGGGCCCAGCTTGCTGCGTCACAGCTCTGAAGTGCGTTCTAATTGCGAAGGAAGCCACTGGCCCACTTAAGRCAGGAGATGACACAGGGTGGCTCCTGTTTTTGAAGGTTGCTCCGGCTGCCCGGCCACAGACTGTAGGTGGGCAAGGGCCGGAGGCAGGAGGTAAACTGAGAAGCTCAGCGGTGGGCAGTTTCATTTTTCCATTTTGGACAGAGCCCTACCATTCCCAGTGGGCATGGAGAAGAATCCTTTGCTCTACCTTTTGTAAAAATCAAAATATGCGTGTCTGAGACTTTCCCGGCCTGTGAGCAGAAGGAAGAGCAACAGCTTGTACTTAACTACTCACGTCGCGTACTATTTAGGGRGTCCATGTGTCTTCCACTCATTCAGTAAACACTGAGTGCCTACTGTGTGTCAGGCACTGTTCTGCCACCCAGGACAATAGTATCTGGTCCCCTTTCTCAATGTTTAATGAACTGTTATAGTTAATTTTAAAAATGCACTGCGTGATTAGTGTTCACAGCACGGTCTTAATCACCTTCCTTCTCTGAACATTGTGTTTCCTACGGAACATGCTTTTAAAATTGAGGGGGGGAAACAGCTAAATAGAAAGTCACCACTGACCCCACAGCTTAAGTCTACCTGTGGCCAACTATTCAAGGAGAGCGGCCACGTGATGATGGAATGGGGAAGCCACCCTAGGGACACACACCATGGTCATTTTGGAACTGCGATGACTAAGGGAGGAAATGACAAGGACCTGGAGGGGAAATAACTTAAAAAGGGGGGAAGGTGGAGGGTGGTGAAAAGATGCTGCTACGAGTGAGATTAGACTCCAACATAATTTGCAGAAAGGGGAACTCAATTTTTTAGGAACCATTTCCAAACATGTATTGCTCATGAACCATTTGCTCAGAGGAAGAGGAGTCCTTTACACACACCCACGAGAGGCAGAGTGACACCAAGAAGAATGCAGTGGCCTCCTGCCCCTGGGACAGCAGCCCAGCTCTGGCATGCAAGGCTGCACCCTTGGAATCCCTGGAGTCACGCCTGTGGACAGGAAATGAGTGAAGGGTGAAGTTCTGCTCTTTTCCTTTGAAGTGTTGCTTCTCCTTAGGGTGGAGARCAGCTTTTGTTTGTCCACATCCATTTCGGACAGCCAGCAGTCTGTCCTTCAGGGGAACAAAAGTGAGGGAAGAGACTCATAGCAGTGCCTCTCCCTTGGAGATGTTTGCTGTCCAGTTAACAAGTAAAAAAGGGCTTTGTGGAATGTTTGCTTTGGGTTCAGAACTTAAAACTCATCCCAGTTGAAAGGGGAATTAAAACCTGAGTCAGTTACTAATGAACACTCCAGAGTGCTCACTAACTCAGAGGTGTTTCCCAGAGTGAGGGGATCAACAGTCAATGAGGAACAGCAGCGCCAGTAATGTGGCCCTCTGACTTTCCTCTGTTGGGGTGGGTTGATCTGTGGCCCCTTATTGACAACAAAAGGAATGCATCCAGGGAGCCGTCCTGAATTCACACCAACAGAGTGAGAGATGAAGAGCTTCCCACCTTCCTATCATCTCTAAAACAACAGGCCACAGGAGGTTGCTAGACCTGCCACACTTGGGAATCAGACTCCAACCAAGTTTTCTCCTAATTGAAGTTGGCATAATTGCTCATGGCCATTCAGATAATAGAGCTCCTGCCTCCTTACCTGGTTTTTTTTTTTTTTGGTAGTGGTGGTGGTGGTGCTGGGGACTGAACCCACGGCTGTGGACATGCCAGGCAAGCACTCTGCCAACTGAGCCACATCCCCAGCCCCCTGTCCTCTCTCTTTACTCTCAAAAAAAGAAATAGGAAAGGAAAAGAAATTCGAATGCAAAATCACCTCTGGGCTTTTCCTTGTAACCCCTTGATGGCTTTCGTCATCTAAGAGGCAAGAGGAAGAGAAGCTGTGCAAACTGCAGGTTTTGCAGCAGGACAGGAACCTGGGCTCACCCTGTGAAGTCATCTCCCTATCAGATGAAGAAGTCGAGGCTGAGAGAAGTTCTCAGTCTCTTGCTCTCCTCCCTCCATGAGCTGCTTGTGAGCTGAGGAAGAATCCTTGACACTTACTTCGACCCACATTCCCTTGAACCCTCAGTTCCCCAAACCAGTCTTACAATCACTTGGGGATGCACCTGCAAGGAGTGGACTTGGAGGTGGCGGTGGAGAGGAAGGCTTTGAATAAACCCAGCAGGGTCTCTACAGAATGCAGTCCGAGTGAGGTGGGCCCAGCTCAGGCCACACCCAAGAAAACCAACTCCCCCACGGCCTGGGAGACCTTTACTGTTACCTCATTTCAATCCTGAGCCAAGACCAAGGGAACCTGGTCACCGGTTTGCCCTGCACACCTTCTCAGCAGGTGCCTAATAAATAACTTCCGGGTCAGGGTAGTTCTGCAAGCGCGGTTTAGCCAGRTTCTCACGAAAAGGGGGATGTGTACTCGAGCCCAGGTCCTGGGCCAGACACCGACCTACTGTACACCACAGTGCTCAGGCATCAGGGAAGAAAATGTTTCATTTCCACTGGTGGTTTTGGAATTTTTTTCTGACCAGGACCTCTTCCTCAAAGTCCCATTTAGTAGGTAGTGGCTTCTCCACTTATGGAAGTCCCTGTGATATGTGGCTTTTGCATCTGAACTGTGAGGAAGAATTCAAGGCTGGATAGATCAGAGTTCCCTGCTACTGTAGAGAAACAGTTGTTTTGTTCACAGAAGGCGCCATTTCCCAGGCATTGGGAAAACAAGGACTCCTTCCTTTTCCTCCCTTTCCCTCCTCACATCCAGTGGATCAGGTTTATTTTCCCCTTTGTCCCTGTGTGGATGGATAAGCCAGCAACTACGGCTCTTTGCATCTAGTTGGATGGGAGGGAGCCCAGGGGGATGTCACAGGCTCCTGGCCCCTCCGTGGCTGCTGTCAGCTCAGAGCAACTGGCAAGAACAGCTGCTAAGGGCACCGCTCAGGCACATGCCTTGGAGGGCCCAGAGCTCCCGCACTCTGCACACACCACTGCAGGGAGATTTCCTTCTCCAAGAGATCACTGCTGGAGTTTTCCAGGGTCTGGAGTAATCACCTCTGAAAAGCATTTCTTCAGAGGATCAAGATGAAGGAGAATGTGAGTACACAGTTGTCCCCCACATCCTTTTCCTGCAACCGTTGATTGCTGGGGACTCTGAGTCACCTGCTTAAAGGGTCCTTAATTGGTTGGCATTAAAGATATTTTTCAAGTAACTCTCATTCTTTGGAAGCTGTTGAGTGTCAAGTTTTGAAGCAAAAAAAAAAAAAAATAAGAGAGAGAGAGAGAATCTGTATTTTGAATGTATATTTTGTTATTTTTTTTTAAAGCTCCAATGTTATTTTGTATCTAAAAGTAGCTGGGGAAAGAGTTTCAATATCACATTTCCGTTAAAGGGCTGTAGATCATTTTCAGCACATTTTGGAACTATTCGTTCAAGCCCTTTCTGCTTTATCAAAAGCAGAACTGAGACCCTGTGTCCCTAGCCTGTTTGGCAAATCAATGTCGCTCACAGGGGAAGGCAAAGCTTTTCCTCAGCACTCTCCTTTGACGACTTGGCTACATCTTTTGTTACAACAGCTCCCTCATGTTGCAGGATGCTGCAAGAAGTTACTTAGCTGTCACCTCATTTTAAAAATTCCAAATATTTTGATAATGAGATGCCGATGCTGGAGCAAAGCTGTCGGGACAGCACAGCTCTGTGACCTCGTTCTCTCACCACATTAGACGAGTCGCAGGGAAATCACTGAACATGGTTGCAAATTCTGGGGGCAAGTTCTGGTTATGAAATAAACCATTTGGTTATTTTCAGTGACTCTCGGTTCCCCATAGCTCATGGAATCTTACTTTTAAGTGGAAATGTTGATATGGAAAGCCACTGACGTTCACCATGGAAGATAAAAGTTAAGAAGCAGCTCTGCTCTTGGACAGTAACAAAGGAAGTGATTAAAGAGGAGGAAAGGAGGAAGAAGGGACAAAGGGAAGACAGGAATCGGATGGAGAAGATGAGGGAGGGGAAAGGAGAAAAAAAAAGACAGGTGGGGCGAGAGAAGACAGGGGGCTTTGGATAATGTATCCCCTTCTAAAAGGAGGTCTCCAGGAGGGGGAAGGTAGGCAAATGCTATCGTCAGTGGAGTCCCCAAGGTCACATGCATATAGCACAGAGCAATGTACATGCTAACTGGCCTTGGTAACATGTTTTGCTGTGGGAACCCCTCTGGCCCTCCCAGATCTTTGTGCAGGAGACCCAAATTGCTCTATAGCTGGCTGGAGAGGGCACAGGAGGGCCAGGGAACAGGAGGGCCAGGGAGGCGAGGTCCGTAAGCATCTGCCATTGCTTAAGGACTCATCCAATGTCTAGAAAGAGCAACTTAGAAAGTTCTCCCAGCCAAAATTTGCTTCTGAAAGGTCTTCATGCCCCTTCAGGTAGACCCCATCTGATTTAGCAGGGAGTCATTTGCTGCCTTCTCTGTGTCCCCTGGCTCTGTCTCCAATTCCCCAGTTGCTGGGGAGAGGCAAACACTCAAAATCCACTGGTTCTCAAGAACCATTCAAACACTTCCAACATCTTCCAAGCCATGCGTGGTGCAGGTCCACACACGGACACGCTGTGCGTTGTGTGATCCACTAGTCCCCCAGCAGTTGAGGAAGGGTTCCCCATATGGGAGACATCTTCCTCTGCAAAAATCAAACTACTTTTGGCCAAGACCAACAGGGAGCCAAGGTTTTTCTCTGTCACCTGCGGGAGCAGGAAGCTGAGAAAGTAACAAGAAGCAGCTGCTTCAGTTCCAGTGCAGGAGTCATGCTCTCCCAACAGAGGAGATTCCTTCTGAAAAAACTCAGTCTTTACATTCAAATAGCAGAACATCTAGACATGACTCAAAAAATTCAAGCTATGCAAATGAACAAGGACCAAAAGCATCGTCCTCTAATCCCAAAATCTCTAGCTCTCCAGACTGCTGTTGCCCTGTGCAGAGGGAACCCCAGGACTTCTGTAACCTTCCATGATGTCACTGTACTTGCAAGGGGTACAAAGGGGGACATGGCACATGCATAGTCTCTCATCTCACTCTTTCTCAAAAGTTTACTCCTGTACTTTGGACGTCATTCTATCCCAGCCTGTCACCTCTATCTAGCTCTTCCTAGCAGCTCTATCACGTTCCATTATACAAATGTACCATTTTGTCAGCTTCCCGTCCTCCTGTGAGGAGGTACTTTTTGTCTTTCATTCATCCAGTATCCATTGAGGTGCGCATGCCATCCGTGAGGTTTGCAGACTTGAAGGGCAGACTCCAGAGTCAAAACTGCCTGTGCTGGTGTCTTGACTCTGACCCTCCTTACTTTAGATGACTTATTTACCCTTTCTGTGCTACAGCTTTCTCATCTATTTAGTGAGATGTTAGGTAACACTACCTGCTTCACGGGGTTGAAGATATTGAGTGAAATGATCAGTGCTAGTTACTTATCACAGTGCCTAGCACATGGTTGGAAGCTGGGAGCGAGCCTCATTGGCGAGGTCTTCACTACACAATAGACAAGAAAATGAACACAGTTCCTGAGGAACCGGTGGAACAGACACGAATGTGTATCTATAACAGTAAAGAGAATTTCCCCCCTTTTTGGTTAAGTATAGGAAAGTAACATTGGCTGGCACACACAGTTGTAAGGACTTTGTGTGGCTGTGGGAGGTTTGCAAGTGGGGACCTGGCCGGATCATCTTGGCATGTTTCACCTCTCTACCCCCCTAGCCCCCATCCCCGTCTCTCCTGAGGTCATCTCACAGAAATCACACCAAGACAGTGTCACACAGGTATCCAGCTTTTCCCCCAGACTCGTCCTTCCTCCTGTCTTTCTTCTCTTTTTGGAGAAGTAGATGGGAAAAAAAGGTGGGAGGGGGTTTTTCTTATGCCCTTGGAAACTGTTTTCTTCTCATTCAACACAATGTGCTCTTAAAACATGGTGAAAAACAAATATTCACAAGCCAAAGCCTCTGCTTTGATCCTTCCTGGCCTGTCTTCATGTTTACATAATATGAAATATTTCCAAGTAACCCAAAGGACCTTGTCTCTGAGGATGATCAGAGAGCTCCCCCACCCGCCTTGGCTCCGGATGTTCTGAGTCTGAGCTCTGCTCCCTCGTAAAGATAAGAACTAGACCGTGTCCCTGATCTCAGAGGAAAAGCTCTGAGAACCATGGAACCTCTTCTAGGACTTCAGCAATTCACATCCCCAACCCCCACCAACACATACACCAAAGGATTTGTAATATTTACAGCGTAAATTTTTTTTTTTTAAAAAACATGGCCCTCAGAGGGGGAGAATGAAGAAGTCCATCACCTTCCCTTAAAACTAAGAATTCTTGAAAATAAGTCATGGGATCTGTGAGAAGGAAGCTGAAATACTAAACAGGAACATGTTTCAAAGAAGGGTTTTGTAAAGAGGAAAAAAATGAAGACCTTCTCCTTGACCTTGGAGGCTACATCTTTGTACGAAGCCAGGGCCAAAAGCCACTGGCATCTCAGGGCTTCTTACACATTTACCACCATCAGCTCTTTGGGGTGCTCACTACCCACTGCTGCCAGTGGTGACCTCATCACATGATTTATCCTTCCCAGGAAACATGACATTCTGGGGCTATTTGGATGGAAATTATGTCATGACCTCTGCTCTTCATTCCTTAGCTACTAACTTTTTTTTTTTTTTTTTTGAGACAGAGTCACTATTTTGCCCAGGCTTATCTTGAACTCTTGGGAAGGAAGCAGCATAGGGGGAAAGAGCCTCCAGCTGTGGGACTCTGAGCACAGGCTTGGCACACCAGCAGGGGGCTTTGGAAGTGTCCTGTTATAAGCTGAAATGCTCAGGCCCTCTGCTATTGACTTCTGGTTTGCAAGGGAAGGAGAGTGCGGCCTCTAAGACCACAGCAGTGAGCTGGACTTGGTGGCACAGTGCTTTACTTGGCCCCAGTGGTGATGTTTTGAAATCTGCCAATGCATGCCACAGTCTCCACCACTCCCACATGTCTACCACCTGGCAGACCTGATGTAAATATTTTTCTGCATCCCCTACGGTCATTGGAGTTTGCTGCTCCTGTCTATGGAGGTTCTTCAACAGGACCCTTCTAGATTTATATGCATTTAGTTTAAGAGTTAGCAGATTAGAGTAGAAAACAGACTTGGGCTTGGCGAGGAGGCTGTCTGGAAAAATGCCTATAGTAGGCTCCAGAGTTAGACAGACCTGGCGAGTCCCTGCTCTGCTGGCTGCTGCTGTGTGCCCTTGTGCCAGTTGCTTAACGTCTCTTAGTCTCAGTTGCCACAGTGAAGCCAACAGAGAAAAGGTATCCAGCCCTCCCTCTCCCAGCTCTGACAGTTTCTGCAGCTCTGTCCCTTCAATAAGTGGAAGGGATGGAAACAGAAGGTGAAGCTCTTGGTGGATGTGTGGATGTATGGGCTAAGGGGATGGTGTCCACTGCCTGGCCAGGGGGTTTCCAGCCCAGGACCAGGGATGATGGAGAGAAGCTGCCCAGGTGGCTTTTCCTCGCACTCCTGCAAGCCGGTTCTGCTGAGAACTGTGACTCTTCGTGCCACTGCAGGAAACAGAAAAAATGCGGATGTCAGGTCTCTGCTTCTTGCCTTCCTGGTGTCCCTCCCTCTCAGGCACTTAGGATCCTGGTTGCTTCAACTCTGCCCCAGGCTGCCGCAGCCCTTCACCTGCGGCTTTGGAGCAGCCTTGGCCCACACACAGCCCCGCCCACCCGCTTGGAGCTGCTGATGCTGGCTGAGATGCCCCTCTCTGGCTGCCTACTTGCTGGTGCTGCCCAGCAACCAAACAGGAAAGGCAGCCACTGCAGAGAGTAAGGCCCTGATCCTTGGGCATCTCTCTCCTGGCAGCCTGCTCACTTTTCAGTTCCTCCAACTCCCCCGCTCACACCCCACCCTCTCGCCCCAGAAATCCCACGGTTCTCTTCCTCTGGTCTAACTGACCCCCGCCTTCATCTAACTCCTACTCACCCCCTAGAAGCTTCCAGAGCCATTCTCGCAGGGAAACTTTCCCTAAGCCCTCGCCCACCTCCACTTCCCAACCTCAGTCACAGTCATTCACAACTTCCTGTATTTTCTTTCCATTACTCTTAAGAGAAGTAAAAACTCATTAATTTTTGTGAAGACAGTATGGGAATTCCCTCTCTTCCTACCCCAAAGCCTACATACAAGACCTGAGATCAGGAACGGTCTGGCTCACCACAGCCTCTCCAGAGCATCTGGCAGATACGGATGTCCACCCCTACAATCTTGGTGACTGACTGAGTGACTGAGTGATTGAGTGAACGCCCAGCTTCCCAGATTCCCGGGAACTGGCTAAGACAGCACCTGCCTCTGCATACTAAGGGAGGATTGGCACACTGCATCCTGGAACCCCTGAGGTCCCCTGTGGTGGTCATCCTGATTCTTCACCTTTGATGCCCAAGCCCCTCCTCCTTTTTCCTTGAACGCTTATTGGTTTTCCTTCCCCTCTCCCGGTTGTTGTATGAGTGTGGGGAAAATGTCCTTTTTGAAAATCAATTAAGAATGTTTCTTCCATTGTATTCTAAATGTCTGTGCACCACAAGGATCAAACATATAAATATATGTCCTCTTAAATATGTGTGCAAACGTTTCCACCTTGACAGGCTATGATGAATGAATACCTTGTGAATTGACCTCAGCCACTGTTGTGATCATTATCCCCAGGGCACCTCACCATGGCTAGATGCAGTGTGCCAATCCACACTCAGCAAAGAGAGGAAAGCACCATCTCAGCCGGGACTGGGCAATCCCGGAAGCCAGGCACTCGCCCATTCATTCATTCAGTCACCAAGATTCTGGGTATGGAGCATCCTTAGCTGTGGCCATCAGGTGTTTCCGTCTGTGGTCTGTGACGAGCTCAGCACAGTGCCAGGAGCCCAGTGCGCTGACAGTGCATGTGTGCTGCTGCTGGTACCCACAGGATGCGAGCCTGGCTGGCACCTGCTGGATCATATCCCCAGTGCCAGAAGCTCAGCATTGAGCTTGGAGGTGCCAGTCATGCAGAGACCTGGTGGAAGAGTGTTATGGGCTGATGTGCAGCAGGGGAAAGGTCCTGCAGTGGCAACATTCTAGAAAGGTCAGAAAACAACGTGGCTGGAAGGAAATCAGTCAGGGAGGAGTAGGGGGCCAGGCTGGTCAAGCCACACAAGGGAGATTAAGTTTTGCTCTAAGCAATTAGGGGTTTCTAAATAAGAGAGCAACATGATTGATTTACATGTCTGAAATAGCATTCCGAGTAGGATCTGGAGAAAGGATTGGAAGGGGAAGGGGCAAGAATGGATGTGAAGAGACCAATTACAGTTCAGGTGGCCTTGCACAAGTCATTAGATCTCAGTTGCCTCATCTATAAAATGGGGATAAGAGAGGACATGCCTGAGGCTTCTTCGAGCTCTGATAGAATGAATCAGTGCACCCAACAGACCACAGGTGCCCTTCCTCCTTGGCTCGCCATTTCTCTCCTTTCCAGGCAAGGAACTCCCCACATAATTCTCACGAGTTCCATTCCTGTTTTGTAACAGACTTTGATGGTTTTGGCAATTAAAATTCTGAGACATTATTAATTAGCTGTTCAGAGACACTCCCTGACAATTATAAGGACATGTCATACAGAAGACGCTCATGTCATGGCAACATATTTAGGGTTTCCTGTTGCTGAGAGCTCACTTTCTTTGAAGACGTGGCCTGCTGTCCCCAATACAGCAGGCTATCAGCAGGAAATACACCATATCTCAATAATAAGACTGCTGCTGTCCGTCTTGAGCAGCTGTGGGTGCCTAGGAGGGTGGGTGGCCATACAAGCCCATTGTTCTCTGGAAGAACTCCCTGCCATTCGCCAGGGGCAAACCCCCCAGAGAGCGTCTGCCTGCCTGGACCCTGCAGAGCAGCCACTCTTGTGCAACAGCTGCTCTGTCACAGCCCCGTTCTCGTTCTCTAGACAAATGTAAACAATTTTTGGAGCAGGGGCTCCTTCTCTTCAGACTCTTTGAATGTATTTTATGGAAATTGGGATGACTGGTTAAAAAGTAGGTTGCTATTTTCCTTTTCCTTCTTAATGTAGAACAGTTAAAGTATAATTGTCAAAAAGGTAAAATTATGCCAGGTCTGATGACATGCCACACCCAGCGACTTGAGAGGCTGAAGTAGGAGGTTCATGAGTTCAAAGGTGGCCCCAGCAACTCGGGGAGGCCAGAAGCAACTTAGCAAGACCCTGTCTCAAAATAAAATATATTAAAAAAAAGGCTGGGGATGGGGCTCAGTGGTTAAGCACCTCTGAATTCCATCCTGGTACCGAAAAAAAAAAGAAAGGTAAAACATAACCCTCTTGCAAATAGAAAGTGAACTTGTGCTAAAGATTTTAATCAACTGACTAATTAATGAGGGAACCATTAAGATATTAAGACCAGGTTGTACATCCTTGAGGAGTTAAATATTCATAGGTAATTTAATTAAGGATATTAGAATTTGATTGCAGAGCTATTTATAAAACTAAAGTCCTACGAGGTAAGAAAATGTAGCCTTTCAGGTTATCTTTCCTTATGGGCTAGAAATCATTTGCCTCTTTAACTGAAATCTACAAAGTAGCATGTAACTTGACTACGCTGGATCTTTAGTCATAGATTCTGAACTCTGCTCCCTTACATGTGTCCCCTCTGCTCCCCTCATGAGAGGAGCACCCTCATCCATGGGAAACTACTCACAACACGCTCAGGGCAGGGACTCGGTGTGCATGCTCCCTGGGCCTGGGGGCTGGCCTCTGGTTTCTGGATGTCTTGATGTTCATTCTTAGTGAAGGTCAACCCGGAGGGTGGGCAGAGAGCGGGTCAAAGGAAGCTTCCTTCCTCCCCTGCTCCAGGGGCTCTTCTGTTGGTGCTGAGGCTTTTGACCTCCTAAAGTCTTGAAGCTGGGGCATCAACCTGACAAGTAGCTGATGAACGCCTCCTAGGTGCCAAACCCTGGGGGTGCAGCTGGAAACCAGGCAGGTGCAGAACTGCTGGCCTGGAGCTCATGTCCGGGAGTGCAGGCACAAAAGAAGATGGCACACTCAGTGAGTTAGACACAAATGTGATATAAGTACAGACGGGGAATGATAGTGTGCAAAAAAAAAAAAAAAGGGGGGGGGTTGGAGGAGAACTCTGGGAAAACTCATAGTTTGGGGGAAGGTGTGAGGGAATCCATTTTCTGAGGAAGTGACATTTAGAAGGATGTGTGGGATTTCACTGAGTGACTGCAACGGAGGAACAGCATGTGTGAAGGACTCGGACCCCCAGGAAGAGTGGTGCTCATGGATGACCAGTGAGGAAGCCAGACCCGGGAGGCTGGAAGTGTGCGCAGGCGCCAGCTCATACAGGTCTCGAAGGCTTGCAGACTTTTGGTTTTCATCCAAAGGGCACTGGGGAGCCACTGAAGAGGGGTAGAGATTTGTGTTTCTGAAAACCCACACTCTGGGAAGGGGCCCTAGGTAGTGAATATTCAATAGATGTTTGTTGAGGTGTGGAGGGACACGCGCTGACATGGAGAAGGGCAGTCAGTGTCTGGTGGCTCTAACTCAGTTCCCTGCTTTTCAGTTGAGCCTTCTAGACCCACTGGCCTCGGATAAGTGAAAAAGTTCTATCGTCCCTCTGTTAAAGATTTCTGGTCTACCAAGGAACAGGAGGAAATTTCCACAGTAGGAATGGCCTCTCACAATGCATGTGCCCAGGGCTCTTTAGGAAGTTCTACCTTTTTGTAAAAATGAGTTAAAGGGGAGCACCTTTAACTGGGAGGCCAGGGAGGCCACCCCTTCCGATTGCACAGAAGCTGCCCACTCATAGGAAGCTTCACGCACCGCTGCACCGAACCTTCCATCTTCTTCAGTGGGGTCAGTCTTGGAGAGCTGGCCAATCCCAGGCTGCGGAGGGTAGGAGTGACAAGAGAGTGGGGGTCTGGACCAAGCACACAGCTCCTGAGTCCCAGTGGGCTGCAGCAGGTTTGGCAGTTTGAGTCTGTTTCCCAGACAGGTTAAGACACTCTCCAAATCTCCAAATTTCCTTGGCAATTCCAAACAAAGAGCTGATGCTCAGGTAGCCTGGGATGCAAGGCCAGAACTTCCACAAATTTAAAAAGGGCCATGAGGTTGCATTAGGGCTACTTGGCCTGGTCTCAGGGTACACAAAACCTCCCCTGAGAGCATGGCATCTCACCTGAGACCTCAGGGATACAAAGACATAGGCTAGGCAAAGAACAGGAGTAGTAGCCTCTGGGGAGGAAGAAATGGGAGAAACTGTGAACGTGCACCAGGTTCCTGTGGCGTTGGAGTAGCTGGCAATCGTAATCACAGTGGATTCTTTCTTCCTACTCCTCCAGACACTGTTGGCCAGGGCTCTTTATGACAACCATCCTGACTGCTCCGATGAGCTGGCCTTCTCCAGAGGAGACATCCTGACCATTTTGGAGCAAAATGTGCCGGAAAGCGAGGGCTGGTGGAAGTGTCGGCTGCATGGGAGGCAGGGCCTGGCCCCTGCCAACCGCCTCCAAATCCTCCTGGAGGCCCCTGAGGATAGATCCTGTCCCCCATTCCCAGGAGGCTTGGAAAAAACCATCACTAACTCAGAGGAGACCTACCAGGTGCCCACAGTGCTGCCCACTCCACCCCCAGGCCCTGTGTATGAGCCGATGAAGAGCTGGGTGGAGGAGCCTCTGCCACTTGCTGCCCAAGTCTACGAGTTCCCTGACCCACCTCCCACCGCCAGAATCGTCTGTGAAAAGACTTTAAGCTTTCCAAAACAGGTAAGACTATTTCCAAATAAKAGAGATGGGTCAGGGGGTGTGGGCTTCAGAGCCACTCAAGTCGCCACTGTCTGTTCATCCAAGTGTGCCAAAGGGAACCCAGGTCATTGGTGATCGTGACTGAGGAGCTGTGTGCTTGGCCCAGGACCCCACCCTCTTGTCACTCCTACCCTCCGCAGCCTGGGATTGGCCAGCTGCCCAAGACTGACCACACTGCAGAAGACGGAAGGCTTAGTGCAGCAGTGCATGAAAGCGCTGTGGGTATTCATGGCCTGGGGACATCAGGGCATCACTGGGATCTCTAGTGGTAAGGATAGGCCTGGATTTCTGTCACATCCAAGTCAAGTGACCTACCACATTTAAAACGTGTATTCCCTTTCACCCGGAAATATTGCTTCTAGAATTGCTACAGAAGCACACGGGAAGGCAAATACTGGGCAAATACTGGTAAGAATGAGGAGGCCCTGGCCTTCCAGAATCATTGGAATTAGGGGGAAAAAAAATCCTAAATGTTAGTGTATGGGAGGATTAGTGAGTGCATGGCCACAGCAAATTACCATACAGTTGTTAAAAAAGAAAAAAAGATGAGTCATTTCTATAAGGTGTCATTAAATAAGTAAATAATATTATTAATAAGTAAATAATATGATCAAAGACCAGACAAATGATGCCTCAAAGAAAGTATCCTGTGTCCCCGTACATGTCTAAGATCTGTGCCCCATCTCTGCCCACACAGAGGAAAGACCCAGAAACACACAAGGAGGGCTGCCCTCAAGAGGTGGAATTGGCTAAGRAGAAAGTGAAGGAACTGTTACTTCTTTCCCACCTGTGTCCCCAGCACCTGGCACCAAGCCTCGCATGCAGTGTGTCCTCCATCAGTGTTTGATGAGCAAACAGATTAGGGGGTTAATTTGCATGTTCTATGGAACATGTATGACATCTGGAGCTTTTATAATATCAGCTCTTTAAAAGCAGAGGGAAAGGAGCACTTAGTAAAAGCCCAAAGAAAACTTTATTATACAATAAAGAGAGGAATGTGAAGCCCAGCCTGGGCGAAGTGGAGGAGCAGAACGCATTTGCAGCATCCAATGGCCTTGGACACTTCCTGCCTGCCATGATGCTCGGCTTTCAGCTCAGATGACACATCCYACCTGATCTCAGCTCTGGCAGGGGTCTTGGCAAGGTCTGTGTCCTGGAAAAGGCCACTTTCCTGACCTGTGTGCCCAGGGGACCCCAGGAAGGTGCTGTGCTCCTCTCGGGCTTCCTCCGTATCAGCCCTCGATGCTGCCTGCAAATGAAAAGGGGTTGGTGCCTTCAAAGGTTTTGAATACTTCAGATTCTCTAACTTCCTGGGCTGCAAGGCGTAGAACCAGACAGTTGTTACTCAGAACAGCTGCCACACACAGGTGCTGACTCCAGACGCCAGGAGGAAGCTGGCTGGGCCTTCACGGGGTGAGCACTACCTTGCTTTTCTGAAACAACTGGCTGTGTCTAGGCCTGGCCTCTCAGCAGCTGTCAAAACAGCTGAGACAGAGTGGGGCCTTGATGGTGTTTCTTCTAAGGACAAGTGACACTGGGTGATATTGATTTGAAATTCTTTCCAAAACCAATGAAGAAAAAAAAAATCAGGGGTCATTTCCCCCTCTCCCTAAAAGGAAAACAGATGCAAACCCACCTTCGGCCMAGCACCCTCTGCACCCAGCACAGTGCCCGGTGCTCCTCTACCAGGTGCTCCGGGAAACTTTTGCCAACTGAATGAAGTGACCCTACTCAATAGAATGCTTTAGAAAGTGACTCACTGCCACCTTGAAATCACATTCACGTAAAGGAAAAGACAAGTTACAAATGAATTTTAACTCAGAGGGATGGTCAGGGCTGTAAGAGGGTTCCTTCCATGAATCTTGCCAACCATTTCCATAAAGCATGTCTCCATGCCCTTGCGGCAAGGAGAAGCGGCAGCTACCCAGGGGAATTCAGGGCCTTTTTTGCCACTGAGCAGGACTCAGCAGGTGGCCACAGAGAACCGCTGGGGAATTTTCCTGCTTTTTTTTTTTTTTTTCCTTCTGTAGCTCCTTCCCTGTCTGTCCTGGCTACATTCTGGCCCTTTTGTGCAGCCTGTCACTCAAGGACACTCAGAACATGACAGACCCCTGTGTTTCTCTGTCCTCCTCCGGGTCAGGAGAGGTCAGAGGAGCATTTCCAAGGTCAGCTCCAGATGTTCCTTGTGGTGATTCTAACTAACGTCACTTCCCCTCGGCTCTGCTTTTCTGCTCTGAAAAGGGTGGAACTAGCTAATCAGTTGAGAATGTTCCAGTCCCCAGGAAAGGCATGCATCTCTCCCCTGCTCACATTACTGAGCCTTTAACCCTAAGTCTGAGGCTGCCCAGGAAATACACGTGGTTCCAAGTGGAAGCAGACGTTGGTAGAACCAGGCACTGGCTTCAAGCCATCTCCAGCGGAGAGATCACAGGCTTGGGCCACCACTTAGGCAAGTCATTTCATGGACTCAATTTGTACTTCTTTTGACCATCTCTAGATTCAGAGTGGCCCAAGGTTAAAATCCAAGGTGGTGGAAATTTGTCCCTATCCTCAAATTGTCCTAAGAGAGGCATCTACACATCAGAATCAGACATCTCCATAACTGGAAGAGATTTTTGAGGACCTTTGGATTAGATCAACTCTCCATTTTACAGATGAGAAAACTGATCGCAAGGAGGTAGAACTATCCATCCAGCTCCTGCACCTGAGAACACAGAGCTGGCACTAAAGCTTCTTAGCTCTCTCCATGTTCTTCAGACTGCAGTGCCCCAAGGCCAGAGCCCTGTCCTCGCCATTCTCACCATCCTGTGATCTCCTTTCACTCACCCGCTGTGGCTGGAGCTACTCTTTCCATTTACCTCTTTGTTAAAGCTTCACCTTCAGGCCCTAAGGATCAGTCACTAGGATCTGACCTACTCAGTCACTAGGATCAACCAAGAAATGGAACAGAACCAGCACCCAGAAGCCCTGAGCCTTCTCCCTGCCACTTCCCCCAGGGTAACCACCATCGTGAGCTTTGCTTTACTTTTTGTTCCAACTTCCTTAATATAATATATAAGCCTGACTTAAAAAAAAAAAGAAGATATTTGATTTTGGTTGAAATTCCCAAAAGAGGGGACTCTTTGGTGTTTCAACAAAGGGCCAGATTTCCTCATGAAATTACACTGAGACCCACTGGTTCCTGAACGGGAGTTCCTCCTGCCTCTCTAAGCCTCTCGAAACCAGGTTTCTCAGTCATGTTCCCAAATTGCTATCTGGAACCTACATTTTCCAAGAAACACTGGGCATTTTTGAAATGGCATCCTTCCATCTCAAATGTCATTTTCAGGAAAGTCCCTCCTGTGTGTGTGTGTGTGTGTGTGTGTGCTCTTGCAAACATGTACGACCCATGGCATTGGCCATATGAATAAAATGGGGCTGAAGTCCTGGGGAACAACGGATCCGGGAACTGCATTTGAAAAGGGTCTGTAGTGTGAGAGAGCAGGAGCTGCCGGCTGCCAGGAGGGAGGAGGTACAGAAATGGCAGTCAATAGTGAGGGATGCTCCTGTGTGGTCCCTGGGCTTAGACAGTATATGGCCTCTCTTTCCTAGTGAGGACATTGGATCCCCAATGGGGACCATTGATGATTTGTCCTGGACCAAAAAGCCAGAAACCTCTGGGGACACAGCCAGGTTTATTAACTGAAATGAAGAAAACTGCAGAATGAGGACCCTGTGGGTATCTCACAGAGGAAAAGCTGGTCTAGTTATGGGCTCAGAGAAAGGTGGGATTTAGTGAAACAGAATCATGACTGTTTCATATGAGGTTCAAAGGGCTTAGCACCTTAGCACAGGAATTCTTGGGCAACCATAAAGTGGAGACAGAGGTAGAATGCTGGGGCTCCCCTTATCTGAAGCCCAGAACAACAGATTCTGCTTCTGTTGTAACTCAGCCCTCCAAGCATGAGCAGGACACTTCTTTTTTTTTTTTTTAATGTTTATTTTTTAGTTCTCGGCGGACACAACATCTTTGTTGGTATGTGGTGCTGAGGATCGAACCCGGGCCGCACGCATGCGAGGCGAGCGCGCTACCGCTTGAGCCACRTCCCCAGCCCAGGACACTTCTTTCTTTCTTTCTTTTTTTAATCTTTTATTGATTTTATTTTATTATTATCTTTTTGACACTTCTTTCTTAATAAAGGTACTTGAGAGCCAGTGCTTCCCAGAACCCAGGACTGTAGAGAACCTCATTTTTTTGAGAGTAAGAAAGCAGTCATCACTCAAAGAAGGGGCTGTTTTGACACTTGGCACTACAGTGGGTCCTTGGGAGAAGTGTGTCCTGTTGGTTGACGGCCGTTTCAACTGCACTTGTGATTGCAGCCTGATGAAGGGCCCGGGCAGGTGTTCATGTCCTGAGCTATCTTTTACCATCCCGTGCTATCCACGTTCAAATTAGCATCAGCACTTAACATGTGCCACCCCAGTGCGTGGTCCAAGGGACACTGTAATGAATGGAAGGACCTTTACCTGGTCCTCACAAGCTGCCTCCTCAGCCTGCATTGTCCTCCCTGTCTCCACATTTCATTCCTGACCACCCCTAGGATTCAAATAGGAAAGCCCGTTACTCTGTGWCAGGTTCCTTGGGACCAGGGCAAGAGGTACATTCTCCTTCTCCTCTTTTCCTGGCCCCATCTCACTTACCAACCTATGTCCTAGGTGTGTCTGGACCTATTTATTTCCCCCTTAGGCCATAAGCCCCAGGCAGTGAGCATCTCCTACCCCATTTAAAAAAAAAATCTCCTTTCCCAGGCCGCTCCCAGAAATGCTCTGATTCTAGAGGTCTGAGGTGGGAGCCCTGACAACTGGAGTACTTTAAATCTTGCCAGATGATTTGGATCTCAAGCTAGGGGTGGCGACTCACACTCCATAGCACCCAGCTTTGTGCCCGGGGTAGACCGCAGTCGGCTCTGAAGGACTAGTTGGAACCCAGAGTTGCGGTTAATAGGTATGGAATCGGTGGCAATCGCTGAACCAGTGCTCCTAGGTAGATGAAATCTGATTGTCAGTCCTGCTCTGTGGAGGATGCAAGCTCCGCTCCTTAACCTCCCTGCCGCTGTTGACCTTCCCCAGTCCTCCCCACTGCACACTCTCGCTCCCTCTGTCACTTTCAACCACTCAGATGGCCAAGGTCTTTTCTGCTTCTACTCACGTCAGCAAGTGCTGTCATCTGTGATTCTTACTCCCCCAGAGGCCCGACCTGAGGCCTATTTCCCCAGGACCTTGGGAGTCATTCACTGACACTCTGAAAGTCCCCTCTGCCCATGTGGCTGGGTGAATGTGTGAGTAGCCCCGTGTCAGAGGTCCAGCCCGGATCCCTAGAGAGCTTCAGGATCACTAGGTCCGTTTATTTCTACTGCACCAGAGATTTGCCAGATGTGGGGCCCAAGATTCTGCATTCTAGCTGTTTCCCAGGGCAGGCAGCCTTGGTCCACCCCTTGAGGAAGCCTCTCCCCCACCAGGGGGCTACCCTCTCAGCACCCAGCTACTGCCAGTCTCCGGGGTAAAGCATCTGCCACTGAGCAGTGCTGGGCTGACACTCAACAGCGCCCACGAGCTGTCTTCTCTGTTTGGGAGATAACTTTGAACATGACCCTGTGATCAGTTTAACATTTCCTTTCCCTTGACACCCTTCTTTTTCTCTCCAAGACCCTCTTTGTGCTTCCCAGACCTTCGAGGGCCTCGCTGCCAGCCCTGCCTTCCCAACTGTACGACGTGCCCGTGCAGAGCCGGGTCCCCTCGGCCCTTAAGGTGAGCCTTGTGTGGTGGCCCCGCTCCCTGATCCCCCAGGCCTGRGCTGAGTGGGGTCTGGGAGTCTCACAGACAGCTGATTTCAGCTTCCCTGGGGGAGGCCTTCAGGGGCTTCAGTCCCCTCACTCTGAAGGTCACATCATCATTGAGAGGCAAGCTTTGCAGGATCCAGGCCTGCTGGGGAGAACACTGTGGCTAYTGGAATTCCAGACATTTTTAAATTTTTACTTTTCATTTGTAATAGACATTTCATTATGGATATAGACACCTACACACATACATTTTTAAGGAATAATATCTTTTTGGCAGTGCTGGCGACCCAGCCCAGGGTCTCAGAGCACGTTAGGCAAGCATTCTATCACTGAGCTATTTATTCCCTGAACTCCTAAAAAAACAGTATCTTGGAGGATATGCACCACAGTTTTAAGGTTGGTGATCTTAACATTGATCATTCATTATCTCTGGGGGAAGAAATTTTAGGTGTTTTTTTTTCTTCAGTATTGGGGATTAAGCTCAGGGTTGCTTTACCACTGAGCTACATCCCAGCCCTTTTTATTTTTTTATTTTGAGACAGGGTTTCACTAAGTTGCCCAGTCTGGCCTCCAACTTGCGATCTTCCTGCCTCGGCTTCCTGAGTTGCTGGGATTACAGGCGTGTTCCACCACGCCCGGCAAGTTATTATTGTTTTCTAACTTACTTGTACATAATAGGCACATCAAAAACAGCTTCGTTGGGCTGGAGATGTGGCTCAGCGGTGGCGCGCTCGCCTGGCATGCGTGCGGCCCGGGTTCGATCCTCAGCACCACATACAAACAAAGATGTTGTGTCTGCCGAGAACTAAAAAATAAAAAAAAAGAAAAAAAGAAAAAAAAAAAACAGCTTCGCTCCTTTCTCAGCTCTCAGACTCCAGCACATATGGAGTTACCCGGCAGCTTTCCCAAGTCCTGCTGCCCAAGGCCCATCCCCAGAGATTCTGCCCTGTCAGGTCTGGGCTCAGGCATTAGGACTTTCAAAGCCCCCAGGAGGGGCTGGGGATGTGGCTCAAGCGGTAGCGCGCTCGCCTGGCATGCGTGCAGCCCGGGTTGGATTCTCAGCACCACATACCAACAAAGATGTTGTGTCCGCCGAGAACTAGAAAATAAATATTGAAAATTCTCTCTCTTTCCCCCTCTTTAAAAAAAAAAAAAAGCTTCCAGGAGATGCTAATGTGCAGCCAGGACTGAGATCACAGCACTAGTCTAAACAGAACTTGGAGCAGCTCTGTGACTTCCTGGTCACTGAGTTAAAAGAAGTCACTTTGGAGTCCCCAGTCTCCATGGGGAATTTTAACATCCCATCCAGGCAATAATCAAATGTGCATTCATTTCAAGCCAAAGTTTCTGCCCTCGCTTCCAGCCTGCTTGCTGAGCCTGGTCTCCAGCAATGGGACCTCAGGATTGACTGGGTTCTCTGCTGGTTCCATGGCTCAAGGTCTCCATTCCCCTCCCACTCTCTGGGAGGTCTCAGACTCTTTCAGGGCTTCAGGACACAGGCAGGGAAAGAGGACAGGAGAAAGGCCCTATGTCTTCTGGGGACATGGTGCAGGTGCTGAATGCTGGTGGCAAGTGTTCAGACTGACTCTCCTCTGGGGCTGACCCCACCTYCTAACTGAGCACTGCTTACCTGAAAATCCCACCCAGGGTGCAAATGTACCTGCTCTGGCTGGTGCCTCTTCCCTTAGCCCCAAGGCAGGCAGGTTATTTCCAAAGCATCCTCCTGAGATTCCYTCCCCCATCCTGCCCTGCTCATGCTCAGTTCCCATGCAATCCCAGTTGGGCCATGGAAGGAACATGCTCCCATTGCCAAGACCGACAAGGGAGCACCAGCATCTCCCCGGGGGGAAGCTTCTTAAATGAAGACACACTTAAACCCATGGCCTCACTTTCCTTGCCCTAATCCCCAGCCTGTCGGGTCCTGTCTTTGTTTAAAACGTTGACGTTTCATTCATCATGATTTTTTGCATTAATTATGATTTTTAAATACTTGGCCTAGATGACCGAGGGTTTTGGTGCCCCTGGATGCTAGGCCCAGGGCAAGGGCTGTGCTTTCTTCACTCTGGTCCTGACCCCAAGAACAGGCCATCACAGCACAGCCAYACTCTGCTTGGTTGTCAGCCTCTAAACTCTCCAAAGCCAGATCCAGCCCCCTGCACTATGACCCCATATTGAGGGCATAGTCATCAAGTCAAGTCACCAAAGGATCCTATTGGAACCCTCAATGCTTCACTTGTGGAGTGCACTTGTCCCTAACCCTGAAGGATTTGCAGGAGACTAAGCTCGACTCGGCAAAGAAGCCCTCTAATACCCAGCTCTTTCCCTCTTTCTTGGCACAGCCTGTTCTGGTGTCGCCTTGCCTTGGAACTTGGAACTTATTTTTTACATCTAATATACACATATTCTGATCACTGTATACATTTTACATATGAAACATAAAACATTTGTATCTCAAGCCTCTGGAAGAGTCTGGCAGGGGAATGACAAGCTCAGCATCTGGCACTCAGTAGGTCTTCAGTAGGATGCACATTTTTCAAAGGGGTAATCCAAGCTCTCTTTTTATTGCTCTCATCACTGTACGTACACAGTTCCACCTGGCTCGGCATAGTTAGTAGTCACTCGATACATATATTCAGAATGACAGCATGAGTGACAGGAGAATTTCTGTTGTGAAAAACAAACAAAAAGATGTATYAGGCTCCCATGTCATTGTCCCTTCTGGCTTCTTTCCATCCTAAGGTTAACTGCCTTTAGATGARTGGCCAATTTCAGTTCAGGTGACTGCAGTTAGCTCTCTACGGCTTCCCTCAGTCCTTGGGGAAGGAGAGCCGTATACATCACCACGTCCAGTGTTGAACTTACATCCGTTGCAGCACATGGAAGAGCACCATGAATGACAGCCCCAAAGTGTTCAGGGATTTGTTTCTTTCATTGGAAAAAAAAAAAAAAAAAACATTGGAGAGTGGAGAGTTTGTGATGATAGCCATTAGGAAGAAAAAAAAATCTAAGTTGTCCTCCTCTGCGGTCTTTCCCTAGGAGCCGGAGAAGCAGCAGTTATATGACATACCGCCCAGTCCRCAAAAGGCAGCACTCCACCTTCCAGCCAGCCAAGCAGGCGTGAGTATGAACAGGTGCCAAGCTGTGGTGCCGTGGAAGCCTAAATGTCTGCTGGGAAACTTTATTAGCTTGATGTGTCCGTCAGTTTTCCATTGTTGTGACAGGATACCTGAGGTAAACAACTCCTAAGGAGGAAAGGTTTATTTTGTCTCATGGTTTCAAAGGTTGTGCCTCTGGTCAGTTGGCATGTTGCTTTGGGCCTATGGTGGCACAGTATACCATGGAGGGAGCACAGTGGAGCACAACCACTCACCTCCTGGTGGCCAGAAAGCAGACAGAGGAAGAGGAAGGTGCTGGAGTCCTAATATCCTCTTCCAGGGCACATACTCAGTGAACTCACTTCCTCTAATTAGGCCCCATCTTTTATAGGGCACCACTATATCACCTCCCAGTAGCACCTCCGGCTGGAGAATAAGACTAACTCATGGGCCTCCAAGGGACTTCCTAGATAAAAAATCAGTATGCAAATTCCCCATAACAAACCTTAATGTATTTTATTTTATTTATCTATTTATATTATTAGTTGTTCAAAACATTACCTTACTGTATTTTAAACAAAAAACTTAATTGCTCTGGGGTTCAGGAATAGGATGGGGTTTGAGTAAGACTTAGCTTCTTCATGCCTCAGTTTTGTATTGCAGATGTATTGGAAGGATTAAGTGGGATAATCCCTGCAAAGCACCCACTAGAGTGCCTGGCACAGAGCAAGAGCTCAGCAAGTGTTAAAAATCACTTCTTCTTAGGAGAGACCTCGGGATGCACTGCATTGAAGTATGCTTCTGTGTGTGTAGGGGGATTTATCACTGGATTCGACCACATGCGTCCCATGGATATACTTTTGTCCAAAGTTATTAGGGGCGGCCTTACAAAAGAGGTGACATTTCAGCAGTGCCATGAGCAATATAGAAAATTTAGTAGATGGAAAGGAAAGAGTTGGATGGGCAGATAAAGCAAAGGGACTAGTTTGGGCAAAATTTTAAATATGGTGGTGTGAGTGTGTGTTCTGAGTTCAGGCGAGGCAAATAGTCCAGGGGACTGGACCTATAAGTACAGGGTGGAAGATGGTGTGTGGGGGGGGGCTAGTAGGTTGGAAATAAAGAGAAAAGAGGCTCAAAAGGGGGGGATCGAAATTGTGAGGGGCCTTGAGTGATAACAGTGATGGGGAGCCACAGAAGGGACTAGAGAGAGGAGAAACAGTCAGACGTGAAGGGTAATTTGGCCCTGCTAACATGGGCGACTACATGTGGTTCTTCCACAGGACATTCCTCTGAAACCAGTGTTGGCATTTAGAAGAGAGGGCTGCAGCACATTGCCAAACCCTCAGAAATCAGAATGGATTTACGACACTCCAGTGTCTCTGGGCAAGGCCAATGTCAGAAATGCATCTCTAGCCAGCTTCGTGGAAGAAGCAGGGCCAAATGCTGTCCCCAGTTCGAGCTCTACTTTCCATAGACCTCCAGATACCAAAGTCAGGATCCTCCCTTCACAGCCAAGTAAAAAGGTGCCCACGAAGAAGAATCCCAGCCTTTCAGATGTCCCTTCCTACACCATCCTAGTGCCCAGGAACACACTCTCTTCAGATGCAGGCGCCAGCTACAAGGTGCCTTCCAGCTTTCTGATTCCCCGAGTGGAGCAGCAGAACACCAAGCCCAATATTTATGACATCCCTAAAGCAATGCCAAGTGCGTCCCAGGCAGGGAAAGAACTGGGAAAAGCCAAGGAGGTTCCAGAGAACCCCCGGGTCCACAATTCCTTCGAGTTCCCCAGACGAAAAACTTCCCTATCTCCAGAACCAGACAGATCATCCATTGCCAGCTCGGACAGCAGAGCCAGTGTGGTTTCTTCCTGCTCCTCCATATCAACTGACTCCTCCTCTAGCTCCTCCTTGGAGGAGTCAGCCAAGGAGCTCTCCCTGGATCTGAACTTAGCCAAAGAGACAGCAATGAGCCTRCAGCACAAAGTGGTCAGCTCTGCAGCAAGCCTGCTGCTCTTTGTAAGTAGGAAGTGGAGGTTCCGAGACTCTCTGGAGGCCAACATTGATGGGATCCACAGGGCTGCTGACCACATAGAAGGAGCTTTAAAAGAATTTCTGGATTTTGCCCGAGGAGTTTATGGGTCAACCTGCAACGTCACTGACAGTCATCTTAGGGCCAGAATTCGAGATCAGTTACAGACAATCTCCAATTCCTACCAGATCCTGCTAGAAGCAAAGGAAAACCTGGACAGCTGCAATTGGTCCCTYGAAGTTCTTGTGACAGACAAAGTTCAGAACAGCCTCGATGACCTTGAGAGGTTTGTCATGGTGGCACGGATGGTTCCAGAAGATGTCAAGAGATTTTCCTCCATTGTCATTGCCAATGGGAGGCTGCTCTTTAAGGAGAATTGYGAAAAAGAAGAGACTATCCAGTTGTCCCCAAATGCAGAATTTACGTGTAAAAAAGGCATCCAGCTTCCACAAAGAGAAGTAGAATCATMCCAAAAGAGTGCTCCTTTTAATAAAGCAAGGGAAAACTACCATTCCCCAGAAGTACTTAAGAAAAATGGGACAAGTGCTTCTGAACAGGTGAGTTCAGAGGTCCCAGTGGCATAAAGTGGGTCTTCTGATGTCGTCCAGAGCCATCACCACTAAGCGAGGTGCCGAGAAGCTCTACCAATAGCTCTTAGGCTCTCGCAAGACAAAGGTTCCATTTCCTAGAGAATAAAACGCATGAAAGCAAACTTCTTGATAAAATCTTGTTGGATTTTAATATTAAGCCCAGATAGATCAGTATATTTTGATTTCCTCTAAAAAATTTTGGGGGTTCAGGTTTACCTCTGATCCTAGAATTAGAAAGTATTTTTTTTTAAATCTTTTAAAAATGTTTGTTAAGTTTTGCCGGACACAGTGGTGCACTCCTGTAATCCCAGCGGCTTGGGAAACTGAGACAGGAGGATTGAAGGTTCAAAGCCTACCTCAGGCCCTAAGCAACTCAGCAAGACCCTGTCTCTAAATAAAATACAAAATCGGGCTGTGGATGTGGTTCAGTGGTTCAGTGGTTAAGTTCCCGAGTTCAATCCTGGTACCAAAAAAAAAAAAAAAAAATTATTAAGTTTTAAATCTTGGGCTGGGGATGTGGCTCAAGCCGTAGCACGCTCGCCTGGCATGCGTGCGGCCCGGGTTCGATCCTCAGCACCACATACCAACAAAGATGTTGTGTCCACCGAGAACTAAAAATAAATAAATAAATATTTAAAAAAAAAAAAAAAAGTTTTAAATCTTGCCACCAAGTATCCTCATGTTTTTGAAAATTATACATTTTGTTTTCATCAGCATGTTTCATAGAAAAAGAAGTACCCTTCAAACATTCTTGTATTTTTGTTTGTTTTTGTGGTTTGGACTGTGCTGAGGGATGAACCAAGGCCTTGTGCAGGCTGGGCAAGCACTCTGCCAACCGAGCTACACCCCAGCCCCCATTCAGACAATCTTCTGAGTTGTTCCAGGTCTGATCAGCCTCCACACTCCAGTCCTACCTAGGAACTCTTGTGGAGCCTTTAGACCTTACAGGAAGAGGACGTTGAGTTCAGAGGTTGCAGCCAAGAGCCCAGCGGGCACCTGAGGGCTGCGTGGAGATGGTTTGACTCTTTGGGTCCCAGCCTTGGGGTTCTGTTGACATGCCTGATGATGTAACAGCTTTAACATATTCTAGAAATTTGAACATCTTTCATTTCCAGGTAAATTTTTTTTAATTAAAAAAATTTTAATTAAAATATTTAAACATAATTTTTTTATGGGTCATTACATTAGGTCTTGTTGGTTAGCATTGGGTGTCAGTAGCAGAACCAAGAACAGGAGCGCTCGAGCGTTAGCCTGAACTGATGCAGTTTGAAATAATGGAAAAATCATCCAAGTTGGGATTTTATTTTTCAGGCATTACCTAACCTAGAAGAAAAAGAAACATGCATCTTGGAACAAAAGTTAGAAGAAGACAAAGACTTAGATACAATGGTAAGCTATCTTGCTCACTCCCCAACACCTCTGGTTACATGTTTTGTCCCTAGAGACATTTCATCATGCTATAGCAATCTCATCCTATAGCCATGACCCACTTGGGGGAGATCTGGTTTTCTCTTCTTCTCCTTCTTCGTAGTTCAAAGAACCCTGTAGAGCTCCAGTGTATGCATCATGGCCCTTAACCCTGACCACCAGGGAAAACTGCAAGTTCATCTTGGGTGGGTCCAACATGGCATTAGATAACATGGTCACATTCTCTGTGATGTCATCAATTAATGCTTCTGATTACAACAACAAAACCCACTTTGGTTTGAAGTTCTGTCTTCAACACCTCCTTGACATCTCCTACTTCTTTTTTTTTTTAATCAAAGATGTTATCATTGTGCTTATTGTTATTGGTCATCTCCGATTTGTGACCAATGACAATAGTTTTCCAATTCCAAATTTTGAAATTTTCCTTTAAATTATTAAAGTGAAAACAATGGGTCCATCCAGAGACTCAGTGTGAAGCCAGCAGATGTCAAGAGGGAGGCTGGCTGCTTGGGAAACAGTGAACCAGTTCAACAGCCCAGATTCAGGGGCATGCTAGGTGGGGGAGGGTGATGCAGACAAGGTCATGTGCCTTCTCTGAGGCAAAGGGGGGCAAGGACCCAGGCTCAGTTACCCACACCCCAAATACTGAGCATCAGGCCTTCTGTATTGCTAAAGGTCATGCTGTCCTGTTAAGGCAAAGTATGCCTTAGACCAGAGGCCACCCAGCATGACAGTACATCACAGTCCCTTGCAAGGCTTGCTGAAACTCCGAATTTCTGATTAGTTGGGGCGTGGGTGCAGAGAATCTACCTTCCTGACAAGCCCCCAGGTGCYCCTGATGCTTTTGGTCCAGGGGCCACACCTGGAAAGCCCCTGCTTCACACTGACAGTGCTTCCTCAGTAGAGACAGGGTGTCATTGGCCACAGGGGACCATGCTCCGTGTGTGGGAAGCCCCGGTGGCACCCCAACCCCTGCCCACACACTGCCTGCAGCTGCCTGTCCATAAGACAACAACTAGAACCACCTCTGCAGGCTCCACCCCCGGGTCAGGAGCTGTGGTACTCTCTTCCTTTACCTACACTTGATACTTCTAAGATAGATTTCCTGGCTCATGATGCTCATCCCTGCTCACAGAGTCCTCTTAACCAACACCCCATCCTCTTTTCACTTCATACTAAAAAATATTCATTGTCTTCATTTTCCAAATATGAAATCATAAAAATGAATAGATTTCTCCAAAGTATGCCTTGCTTCTTGTCTGACTCCCCCTCCACCAGCCCCGAGGGTCACAGCCCCCTCTGACATTCACTTTTCGGGTCCTTTCGGATGAAGTGCTGTCATAGGTAGACAAGAGAGGGCAGAGTTTGAGGGAGAGAGTCTCAGACTCTGCCATTTGACTGTGAGCTCCAGCTGAATTTACTAATTGAATGGCCCCTGAGTTCAGTTTCCTCACTTATAACAAAGGAGGGCCGGGTGTATGTACCTCATTGGTACAGCACTCACCCAGCTTGTGAAGAGGTCCTGGCTTCAACCCTCAGCACTGCAAATAATAAAACTAGATTTAAAAAAAAAAAAAAACCCAAAGCTGCCTTGTATTGCTACCCCGAGTGGCCACCACCAACTCGGTGCTGAGAATTCTCCGATGGCATATTGTCCTGGGAGAAACATTGATCCCATTTTCCTGAAAGTAAAATTTTGATGAGACCTTAATAGCAAACAAGGTAAGCATTTTCATATTAAGGTAGGTAGGTCAGTGTATTTGACCCCTTTCACTGTACCTCTGGTACTGGAATTAGAAAGGATTTGTAAATGTCTTAAAAGCTATTCTTCGGGCACATTTTTAAAATCTCACCGTCAAGTTTCTACGTTGTTGTTGTTGTTGTTGTTATTATTGTTTTTTTCTTTTCCCTTTTATTTTTTCTCTTTCCATATTTTTATTGGTGCATTATTGTTAAACATAATAATGTTACTTGTTGTTACATCTTCCTGCATGCACACTATTGTTTGTGATTTGGTGCTGGGGTCAAACCCAGAGCCTTGCACATGTTAAGCACATGCTCTATCACCAAGCTTCAACCCCAACTCCTTCTTGCACTTTTGAAAGCTATAAATTTAGTTATTGTCCACATGTCCCTTAGAGTGAATTTCTTCTGGTTTACYGATGGTCAAATAAAATTATATATAGTATGTATTATAATGCATAAGATAACATATACTATGTTATGATATATGCTACAGTGSTTTGGAAACATTAACATTATTTTCTTTAGATGTCCCCCCAAAAACTGTGCCTTTCCTTCTAAAATGCCTTGCCAATCAAGCAAAAATAAGAAAGGGAAGATAACCGCAGCTGGCTGATCCATCTGTCTCTTATCTGCTTCCTCCTTCTCTTCTCTAGAATCCTGGCTCTCTTGTAGCCCAGCCTTTGACTCAGCAGAACCCTGGGAGGAAAGTGCACCTTTCTGAACACTGCCGCCTCTATTTTGGGGCGCTCTTCAAAGCCATCAGCGTATTCCACAGCAGCCTCAGCAACAGCCAGCCTCCAGAGATCTTTATCACTCAGAGCAAGCTGGTCATCATGGTGGGGCAGAAGCTGGTGGACACTCTGTGCAAGGAGACCCAGGAGAAGGATGTGCGTAACGAGATCCTCTGCAGCAGCAGCCACCTTTGCGGGCTGCTGAAGGACCTGGCACTGGCCACCAAGAATGCAGTTCTCAAGTACCCGAGCCCTGCAGCCCTGGGGCACCTCCAGGCTGAGGCCAAGAAGCTGGAGCATCACACAAGACAATTCAGAGGGACGTTGGATTGAGGCGCTGCTGCTTCCTCCCTCAAGTTACTTCTTAGTTTCTCAGCACAACCTGGGCAACTCTGTCCCCTGGGGAACGCCGCAGAGCATACAGGATGGGCCACAGCAGCCACTGTGCCCAGAGCCTGTAGTACAAGCAGCCGAGCAACTCCAGGACACTGGCTTACCCCCAGGGGGCAGGAAAGAGAGCCAGGTATTATGTAAGGACCTTATGAGGAGGACATGCCATCTAGGGTATGCAAAGTCACTGTTGAAAGTAACAACGAAGAAATCATTTCTATGTTGGTTAAATGTGTGTGTGGTTTACATTCATTTATTCAGCACTTATTTATTGGGCACTAATTATATGTCAAGTTCTAAGGCTAGAGACACAGCAGTTTCTCAGCAGGCATGCCCTCATGAACTCACAGTCCAATAGCGAAGACAGACAATAAAGTGATTAAGAAATGCATCTATAATAAATCAGAGGCAGGGAGAAAATACAGTCCAGGGAAGAGAAGGGAGCTCAGTTTCAAAAGATACATTTTCTGTTGCATCCATTAGAAAATGTAATTTTTTTAAAATTTTGGATTGAATTAATTCAGTGAGATTGGTACAAGTTGTGTATGTTTCTAGCCCCAAACTATATATATATATATATATATATATATATATATATATATATATATATTTTTTTTTTTTTTTATTTTTTATTTTTTGCTGTTTTCTTACTGTGGTTAAAGATGCATGGTATATTCTTGCCACACATGTTCTGTTGTGTTCCCTATTAACTTATTTTGTATATTGTAGATTCTGTATTGAGAAGTTCTACTGCTCAATTAGAAAAAAAAAAGTTTATATTTCAACAGTTGCAACTCTGTGACCGTTTATAATAATATTTAAATATAACCACGAATCGAAGCATCATTTTCAGCAACCCTTTGCAAGCCTTTGGTCCACACTGCCTGAGTTCTGGTCCCAAAGTCAAGCCCTTGATGTTTATTTTTGGCCTTCAAATGCTTCTCACTGAAGTCTGTAGGCAGATGCTGTAGAGACCATGTTTTATGCATCAGATCAGCATGTGGCACAAAGCCMTCCCCTGTGGGGTGCAGACAGGAAGGTGTGGTGTGGACAGGATACCCATCGCTGGGCACAGACATGGAAATGACACTGAGCTCTCCTCCCGTCCAACCACCTCCTCTTCCACCCCTTGCAGCGGAGGCTTTCTGCTCAGGTTTCTATGGTTACATAATCCTGTCCATCCCAGGGACGGTCTGTGGTTGTCATATGTATCTCAGCCACATAAACACCTCTGTAGCCTGAAATCAGCATCTCCAGCTGGGTCCCCTGCAGGGGAACCAGGTCCAGTGGCCATCCGCTCTTCTGTCCTTGGTGGGCATGTGAAGACATTGGTGGTAGAAAGCTGACTGTTTTGTTGAGTTCATTTCTGGATCCTAAAAAAAAGAAGACTCTCTCCTTTGTGAGACTTGTCTCTACGGCTGAACAGGGAGACCCTAGAGGGCCAYGTTCTTTGAACAGCAGAAGCTTCATCCATTGGGATTGAAGTCAGTTTTTTTCACCTCTGTCACCATAAGACCTGACAAGAACAATTAGAGGAGGAAACGTTTCTTTGGGGACTCACAGTTTCAGAAATCTCAGTCCGTAGAAGGCCAGCTCCATTCCTCAGGGCTTGAGGTGAGGCGGAACATCACAGCGCAAGAGTGTGGCAGAGGGAAGCAGCTCAGGTCGTGGAACCAAGACGCAGAGGGAAAGATCTGCTCAACAAGGACAAAATAGAGACCCCAAAGGCATGCCCCCAGGGACCCACCTCCTCCAGYCACAGCCTTCCTGCTGCAGTGACCACCCAGTTAATCCCTYCCGGGGGATTTATACAYCTAATAGGTTAAGGCTGTCGYGACCCAATCACTTCACCTCTGAACTTACTTGATTTGTCTCACACATAARCTTTTGGGGGACACCTAATAACTAAACCATAACAGGGATTCTATTCCTAGTGTTGGAAAACCATATCTGGTTTATCTTAAACAATAGAGGAAATTTATTGACTCAAGTATCTTAAAACAATTTGGGGCAGAATARCTGCACAGCCATTGGAGGTGGGAGCAGGATTAGGCAAGTCTAGGTGGAGTTAATCCTGTATTATAGTCTTGGACAAAACATTTCCCCATGTTCAATGTATCTACATGCAGAACAGAGTAGAATCTGACCCCAAGGTTAAGGCAGTGAAGAGGATAGACCGATGAGACATTGCTCCTGTTCTAGCCACCTATGGGACAYCTGCAGGCCCATGAGAAGAGCTAGTACTCTTCAAGTCYCTGAAGAGTAACCTAGGCAACTGTTATTATCACAACCCACACACCAGAGGTGTGATCTACAGCAAAGCCAACAGGGGACTAAAATTGTACTGCCCAGCTGTGTGGCCTCCCAAATTAKCGACTTTTTAAAGTCAAGTAAGAACAGTGAAGCTGAAAGATTTATTTAGGGTTTCTATGAGGAGCAAAGGGAAAGTTCTTTATGGAGCTCTCCTTTGGCCTCCATACGCCTTACCTAYCTAKGGTTACCACCAACTGAATCCATATCAGTGGATTAATCCACTCTTAGGTTACAGCTCTCATAAGCAAGTCATTTCACCTCTGAACATTCTTGCTTTGTCTTGCATGTGAACTTTTGGGGATGCCTCATGTCTAAACCATAATACCAGTTGGCTTGCCTTGATTCCACAAAAGACATGAGATTCTGGTATCAAAGACTGTGTCATTGGTCCCCAACATGACCTCAGGCCCAATGAGTCATGAGGAGGACTTAAAAGAATGCAGAATAGTGTTGTACTCAGAGCTCTGAATTTTTTCAGTAAAAGGACAGAAAGTAAAATCAACAAAAAGAAGAGGGTACCAGGGTGAAATGTAGGGGGACAGACACAAGCTCCTAAAGTCCTCTCCTAGTGCAATGACAAGGGACACACTTGATTCCCACCCCCCATGAGCTGTGACATCATTGYGAGGAGTCTCAAACCTGGGAAGCTTGTGAGAGCCACAGCACCCAGTGTCATTATTGGGCACTGATCACATAGGCATCTCTTCCTGACACATACCTGATTTCCAGATTCTCAGAAGGAAAGCAGATGTTTAGCACAAACCACACTTGTCTGTACAGCTTAGGTGCTGTGAGCCATTCTTATTTGTTCTGGGGATGTTGGAAACCCTCCTGAGTTCCAAGTTCCTACATGTCAATCAAAGGCCAATGTTGCAGGCAGGCCTTCCTAAGGATGCTGGTTAGAGCTGCCATGTGGACTTCTATCTGCACAGAGACCTGAGATTCCCTCAGCACCACAAGAAGCTTCACCTTCATGCCCTGTTCCCTCATCCCTCAACTGCAAGGGGGTGAGTCAGAGGTGGGCTCAGGTGTAGGCCATTCACACTTAGGTTTGTTTCAAAGCAGAGGAAACTCAGAACAGAAATATCCAATCTCTTATAATGGGCTCTGAGCAGAGCTGGCCAAGCTTCACTTAGAGGAGACCTCGTCTTTATTACACTGGAAACAGACAAGCCTGCCCAGTGCTCTGGAGCGAGGCACTATCTCTATCTTCCAAGGCTGTTGGCTACCAGGATTCTTGAAAAGATGGTCCAGGGAAAAAATACCAGGTCCTCTGCTCAGAAGACGTGCAAAGAACAGGGTTGGGGATGTAGCTCAGGGATGGAGCATTGCTTAGCTAGTACAAGGCCCTGGGTTCCATCCCCAGCACCACAAAAACACAAAGTGAAGCAAATAATACAAAAGGGAATGATGTATGGAAATGAAAAGCAGCTGTGGAGAACTGAATTCCAATACAACCCCCTCGCAAAAGTCAGCCATGTTGTTAGAAGAAGAAAAGATTGTTGCTTGGAGGCAAACCACAAGTTTTTATTGCAGTGGACAAAATTTTTTACACAACGATGATAACAGCAGCCCATATTTATTGAATGATTACTACTAAAGCACTGTTCCAGCTGTTTGTATATTTTAGCTCAGTCCTTCCTAAGTGACAGAATGTCTAAAAGGTCATGATAGGTCCTATTTCATGTCCCCCCCACTCCCCATTTTGAGATGAGTTCAAACCAAGGACACTTGTCAACAAAGTGCAAAACCATTGGATACGAACATGAAAAGTGCTGCTCTTAGCTAAACGTGTTTCCTTCCTTTTTTTTTTATTGAAAGAGTAGTTATTAATCTAATAGGATGATTACTTCTGGGAAAACATCTAATAGAATTACACATATATTTTCAGCTCTGCCATTTTTTTATTTTT